CCTTGGCTTCATGGAGACGGGGACACTGCAAAAATAACTCCTCAGTTAAACTCCCACATTGCTCCCTCCAACTAAAAATCTTGTGGGACTTAGTTCTATCCACAACGGCCAGTAAAGCCTCCTCAGTCCCATAATTCACTTTAACCCTCTCCGAGGTCATAACCGGCTTCAAATCAGCAACGATTATATAACCAAATGATAAAATTAAATACACATACAATCTTTCCTTCTTGCTTACTTAATAATACCCTACTTAGTTTCCTAATAGCTTACTAAGTGCCTGACAGGTAAATACTGAAACCCTAAACCTCACTGAAAAACACCGCGGAATTATCTCCACGGTGAACAGCTTCAGCGAGCGGGCCAAAACTAAACCCTACTAAGTAACACTAAAGGACTACACTTAAACCGGCAATATACCTCACCGAAAAACACCGCGGAACTATCTCCACGGTATAATGCTCGGCGAGATGGCCGTACAATATTAGTAATGATGAAATGAAGATGAAATTAAATACCACCCACGATTTAACCCAAAATCCACAGATATCCAAAACAAGACTGACAGTCAAAAATCCCACTTAGGTACCTACCCAATCCTTCCTTCTTGCTTACTTACTAACGTACGTAGTTCCTTCAAGGAAAATACTTCTTGCTTAGACTACTTAGTTTCTTAAAGGAAAATACTTGCTTACTTACTTAGTTTCTTACTTAGTTTCTTACAGGAAAGACCTATTGCCTACTTAAAAAGTAAGAACTTACTTAGTTTCTTTCCAAAATCTTACTTAGTTTCTTTCATAATCTTACTTAGTTTCTTACTAAAAAATTCCTACTTAAACAACCCTATACCCATAGTATACCTCACCGAAAAAACACCGCGGAATTATCTCCACGGTAATAATACCTCGGCGAGAGGGTTGAAACTAAATTAATTATACTCCTACTCACTAATTCTACTCCTACTTAAACAACCCTATACCCATAGTATACCTCACCGAAAAAACACCGTGGAATTATCTCCACGGTAATAATACTTCGGCAAGAGGGTTGAAACTAGTCTAAATAGAGCCTACCCCTACTTACTAAGTTCTACTTAACCGACCCTATACCTCACCGAAAAAGAACACCGTGGAATTATCTCCACAGTATAAAACTCTGGCGAGAGGATCAAAACTCCGAGCACGACAAAAAACGGCTGTACAACTAGTCTAGTGAGTAGAAAAAAAAACGAGCAAATTTAAGTACAAAAACTGACCGAAACCGATGTCAAAATCGAAATACGGCCGTAAAAATACCAACGAGTCCCTAAAAAACTATCCTACAACCCTAAGTAGACAAGAAATGAAAAAATATGAGCTTATAAGGCCCTACGAAAAAAGTTCCAAAAATAAAAAATCCCTTCAACACACGAGTCAACGTATCCAAGATGGCGGCTCGGACATGTGTGCGACCACAAAAAATTATCCCCAAAACACCGAAATGAGTACCCAAAAACCGGAATACAGCACTGAAAATACTCTACGAGTCCCTAAAATACTAATCTACAGCACTAATCAACTACCAATAGGGAATAAACAAGCTTACAAGGCCCTACGAATGAAATTACAAAAATAGAAAATCCCTTCAACACACGAGTGAATACCGACAAAGATGGCGGCTCAAAAACGTGCGCGATAAAAAAAACTAGCCCGAACAGGTTCGGATAAAAAATTAGCGATTACGCCATTGTAGTGACGGAGCGGAATATAAACTTACTGGGCCTAAATCTTAACTATAATTCCATGAACGACTATAATAAGGATTTATCCTACCATAGGCTGTATACTATACTGCTTGAAGTCTGTCTCAAGAAGCGCTTGAAGTGTTGCTCGTTGAGTGGAGCTCCACCGTCGCTAGTAGACCGAAGAGACAGAAGAGACGGGCAATCAACAGTGTTTGTCGCGTGCAGTCTCAGGTTCAATCTAACGTTCCCAGTGATAAGCACGCCCGCGGAAACTACCGCGGGTGTCGCCTAATGCGGGACTTACGCGCATATGCCGCCAGAGCCGTAGTGGCTCAGGCTGAATCACTACACCTTAATAATAATTCCTCACAGCAAGCATGCAGTGCAGTGCTAGAGGTAGGGAGGCCAATGCCCAAATCTAACTTTTTAATTACGAATTTGTTTAAAATAAAACAAAGATTAAAAGAAAGCATTTACTTTCACTAAGAAAACTCACCCATCTGCCGACTCCAGAAGTTCCATAAAATAGGAGATATCCAGCTTTTAAGCACTCCCTTCCTTCTACGCTTGGCCGTACGCAAGAGCCTTGAAACAATCAATTTCATGGTCCCAAAAATTACGTCGAGAATTAGACAGGCCCGAGGGAATGGGCGTGTCATCATGGTCATTGCCCGGACAACAAGTTCAAAACTTCGCGCGAAAGTACATTCATCATCACCGGCTAGCCTTGAATTAGTCGCACACACCGACACAGTACTACAGGCCGTCCACGTACGGTAATTGCATGCAAGCCGCAATCGAGCCATGCTAGCCATGCCATAATGAGAGAAAGCTCGAAAACCACTCATTGTAAATTAAGAAAATGATTGAAATAAATAAATAGGCCTACCTTAGTTTTGATATGTATTCCAATTATTTCTTCATGAGTAAAGATCAATCTGACACTGCAAAATCCAACAGTTGCAGCGAACACAATACGATCGATAAATCCAACAGTTGCAGCGAACACAATACGGAATCAAACATAGTCAATAGGACTGCACGCATTGATAGACGTGTACTGACGGAGATATTTCTCTCCCTCTCTCTCTCTCTCTCTCTCTCACTAACCATGATGATATCATGTACACTAAAACACACACGTTCAAATCATGGCATTCATTACACTTCTCAATTGGAGTATAGACTGCTCACGTAGACTTTTTTTTTTTACTGAAATGTCTTTTTTTACACTTCTCATACATTACTGCACGACACTGGTGTCTAGTGCTGAGAAAAAGGTACTATGTGTGAGACTACGTCAAATTTGTTTTGCGCGCGATGAGACCGGACCTCATACATATTCATATTATGATGTCGCAAGACTTCTATTTTGGGCTGAATAATGAAGGAAAAACTGTGCGCCATCTACACGTTCGTAATGGCGTTATCACAGTTTTTTCCTTCATAATCATTTTGCCTTCGGCGTAGACTAGAATGGATGAGATTGACGGCAGTGAGAGTTTAACACGGCTTGCAAGATTTTCAACATGGATGTCGATTTTGACCCATAATTTCCTTAAAAGGGACCATTAAACGGATTATTTCCATCAAATTAGTAAGTGGAACCGATGTATTATAGCCTAGGCCTAATTTAAAATTGGATATGGACGAGGTAAAATGACATTTTGGGGGCATAACAATACGGCCGTGGCAAGTTTGTCATGTTTGTGGGAGGGGCCTAGCGGCTAAAATCTAGCCGTGATATCTTCAACATAGGCTGGCATAGGCGATCGTTCTGTCTCTATAACCGGAGGTCTAGTGGAGCCAGACGTAGTCTCAGTGGAACAACCGACGGTATAGAGACTGAAGCTTTCGGTCTATGACTCTCTATGCTTTGCTGGAGTGCTGTTATGCACTATTGGAGACCATTTGGATAGCCTATGCAAATGTGATCTTTTGATGGGCTGATTAGATTTTTGTTTCATGATTTCTATTGGATGAGAAGAATGACATTATCTTTCATTTCATACTATTACTAAACTTTCTATGATTTATGTTTTTGGTAGTTTTTTTTGCTGCACTAGCTGTTTCACAAGAGCCGTGTTTAGTGCCATTCTGTAGGCCTACCCTGATCCCGCATTCAGGATGAGAAAAAAGGTATCTAGGATAATTGGTTAACATGTGAATTTGCTTTTGGTGAAATTTCAGCAAAATCTATGGATGAGAAATATATTTTTTTTATGAGGAATGTGAAATGTCATGCAAAAATGACGGCCCAATTTTTTGGCAATTTTTTTTTTTTTTGTGATGAATTTTTTTTTTTTTAAACAAAGGAAAACAAAGCAATTAAATACATTATTTCTGGGCGTTTAAAATTGGCATAACTTTCTACTGGGGCTATTAGGATGAATGAGGCATCAAATAAAAGGTCTCATCAAGCTCTGTTTGATGGCATAGAGCAAGAGCTTGAATTTGAGATTTACGTAATTTTTTTGTAACATACCTACAGCATGGGTCATGAAAGTTGATGAAACTCCAGGGAGCTATGGCAACACCTTATAGCATAATAATAATGGCGCCAATTCAGAATCATATCCATACATTGACCCGTAACTCTGGCAATGAGATAACTCCAGGGAGCCTACAAAAACATAACAAAAATCAACTAAATCTTCATCAATTGTATTATTGTTCAAATAATGGTGATGATTTAAAAGCTGTTACCTGTTTCGTGTCAATTTTTTAATCTTAGTATTTTTCCTAAAAACAAATTATAATATACACGTTCTCATGGGAATCACGACCTGTCTATAGCGACCTTCCAAGTGAAACACAAATAGTGTATTAGATAAAGTGAAACTTTCAAAGATCTTTATTCCATCTGTTTTATGTACGTAATGTAAATATTTATGAATATTGTTTTCCAGGTATTGTCGCCCATGTCTTATCATCATTTTCCAGAGGACTACACTTCCCTCGAATGAGAAGGACATCGTACACCATGGATGGATTCTGCCTTCTCTATTTGCTCCTGATCCTCTTGATGAGATCTGGTGACGTTGAAACCAATCCAGGTCCGAACACTACAGTAAGGTATGCATATGCTAGTAGCACCTGAAATTGAGTTCTGGGCCCTGTTTCTTAAACCTTGTTATCGATAACAGGTTATAAGCTACTGAAGTTGTGGCATTTGATCGGCTGAGAGCAGATTTGTCGTAGAAATTTAGCATTTGTAATTGATAACAAGTTTTATGAAACAGGGCCCTAGTCACGCGATTGCTTTGCAAAAGAAACAATGTGGAAGCGATTGGGAAGGTTGATCATGTAGCACAAAAGTATTGGTGTACATACTTTTAGGTTTTGGAGTTGTCACAATGATCATTTTGCCCAGTCTTGCCAAAAGTCGCATGAACTGGACTCGAAAATGTGTATATGGGACTTTACAAACATGTGGCAGAAAAGTGTGGTCCGAGACAAAATATTTGTCATATTTCAAAAATGAGGGCATTTGAAGAGCTGTTTTTTTAATTTTCTTCCCTTTCACCTTTCACAGAACTCAACCTTCTTAAACGAGGCAGACTGCTTTAATATTTGAGGAATAGTTGTTTTAAGGGCTCTCAGGGATGTTGCATCTTGCGTGATATCAGGATGCAACATCCCCTTGAGCCTATAAAACAACTATTCCTCTCAAAGCGGTCATTATATCTATATTTTTTCATTCACCTGATAAGAATAAAAAGATGTCAATAGTCATCTAGTCCATATATGCAAACTGCATATATTAAGTGTTGCTAGGTAGGTCAAGCCATACTGCTTGTCCTACCTGGCATCAACTAATATATGCAGTTCGGATACTGTCTATGGAAATATTATTATTTTATTCAGATGAATGAAATGTTTTGTATGGAGGCACTTTACAAAAATGTATTATTTTTTGTTACAATACGGAAATGGCCTATTGTCGTGAATGAGTCAATGTGACTCTTAAAATCATCATGTTATCAAACAAACTCAGTGATTGCATAGATTATATGATGCAAATAATAATTTTGATGATGAGGGTAATTATAATGATAATAGTGATGATAATTATGATAATAATGATTCAAATAATCATCAGCATCAGCATCAGCATCATCACCAGCATCATCATCATCATCATCAATTCTAGTAATAATAATAACAACAACGTAAACATTATTATTATTACAACAAGTAGTAGTTATCCATTTCTTCTTATTATTATTACTAACATCATTATTGTATTTACTGCCAGACTTCTTTTGGAATAATTACCCTTGCCAGAACAATTCTGCCCTCACCTGCAACTTGGGGCAATATATTTCAAATCTTAATATCACAGGCAATATATTTTAATGAGTGTTACATGATAATTTCTCAGCCAATAGGATGCTCTCTAACTAATATTCTATCGTACGTAATTGATTTATTGTTAATTTTACAGTACTGTCAGTGAATTGGAGTTCCTGAAGCTGGCTCAGGCTATTCCTCCATCTTACTATGAGGCTGTAGGGATATCTCTAGGGATCCCCCATGCTCAACTACAGTCAATCCTGGCAGAGAATTCGAAGAACTACACCAATGCGTTACTAGATGTGTTTATGAAATGGAATGTCATGCAGCAACCTTCACACTCAAACAAACGACAGCTTTTGGCAGACAAACTACAAGAGATTGACTTGGGTGGCCTATCAGACGGATTACTGAATGGACCTCCAATACCAAACAGCACAGGTAAACATATGTATACTAATTCTTGCTACACCAGAAGACGTAGAAAACCACTCATAAAAGTTAAGTTAGTTTTTAGCACAGAGATAGTAAATGCTCTGTGTTCTACACATTTGCCACAATTTACAGAAGTGTCAAATTTGATCAGACCCCAAGCGTGTTTTTATAATCTACTAATTTAACTCCGTTAATCCTAGATATTTTCTGGACACCAATATATAGTACAAGTACTTTGAGTGACAGCAGAATTAAATGTTTTTCAGCTTTCTTATGTGCAAATGTTCTACAAACAAAGTATATAATTTCTGTTGCGTCATTCCATTATGAAAACTAATTATGCATCCGCCCACCGAGGGTGGTGCCGGGGAAAATATGGTTTGGAGTTCTATGTCACTCCATCCTGCTTTTTTTCTATTGAGATATCTCAAGAACCACTTGAGGTATGAACTTCAAACGTGGTGTTAGCATGCATCACCAAAGTGAGATGAAGTTGTTAGATTTTAGGATAAGTTGGTCAAAGGCCAAGGGCCATGAGGTTCAAATTAAATTAATTTTTAAGGTTTTAGCCCCATTTTTGCAATGTCTCAAGAACGGTTCGAGCCATGAATTTTAAATTTGGTGTTGGTATGCATCAGCATGTTGAGACAGACTGATTATTTGTTTGCGTTAAGAAGGTCAATGGTTAGCAAATTGAAATGATTATCACCATATCAATAACTACTTTAGCTAATTTAGCTGAAAAATTGAAAATTAAAAAACTACATATGGTATGCGTCACATACATGTAGGGAGACAAGTGATCAGATGTTGGATTGTCGGGTTAAAGGTCATAGAGAAAGATAAATCAAAATGTATATATATATAGGCTTTTTGTTCTCATTGTTATATTTAAAGATTGATTCAAGCCCTGATCAATAACTGAATTTAGGCGCAGGCATACTGGAGATGCAGTCATGTTTTTCAAAATAAGATGTATGATTGTCAGGGAAACTCTACATTGCTAAAATGTCCTAAGAATTTTTTTTCCAGTGTAATTCATCTACAAGCACATGTATACTCAATTTTCTCAGATCTAAATGCCCTTAAAATTGAATGAAGTCACATAAATTCAGACAAACATGTAGGACTTTATGTCTTTGAGTACATGCACCTAGTTGTATGTCACACTATTTAGCCTCAGGCCTTTACAATCCTTTTGTATGTATCAAATTGTATTAAATTTACGTAAAGTTTATGTATAATCATGTGAATATGAATTATCTATGTATTTTTAGGAGGGCCATCAAGACTGCTTGAATCGCAGACCAAACCTCATTTAGCTGAATCTCAGACCAAACCCCTTTCTCCTGAACTGGTTGAGCGGTGTGCAAATGATCTCAAGTTCAAGTACAGGTCAACTCTCTGTAAGATCAGAACTGATCCTCTCAATCCTGCTTCCACTGTGCAGTTTCAAGACATGTATACTGATCTCTACTTACAAGAAGAACATGGGACAGAGAAGCGACAGCTAAATTACAATGATATCCTTGATCTCGAAGTCAATGGAGAGTTCCCCAAGAGGATCATGGTTCAGGGAGAGGCAGGGGCTGGAAAAACTACATTTTGTGCTAAGATTGCCTGGGACTGGATTGAAGGGAGGTATTTCAATCACTTTGTGTGGGTCTTGATTGTTCCTCTACGTGAATTTAAGCAACACACTATTGGCGAGATTGTAAAGTCTTATCTGGCCAAAAGCAATCCAGCAACGGTTTCACAGATTACTGAGTATATTCGGTCAAATCCTGACAAGGTATTCATCGCATTCGATGGGCTAGACGAAGTCCGTGGCAAAATCATGAAGACAGAATCTCACCAATCACAGCCTACTGATCAAATGCAACTTCAGCCAACACATCCAAGTGTCACCTCCTCAGAGGCATGTGGAAGCTCATCTGATATTGGACTTGTCGATATTCTTTGTTCCGATCAACTTGCCTCTTGCCCAGTCTTGGTGACCACTCGTCCATGGAGAGCAGTAGAGATTAGATCAGATGGTGATCTAATGAAGCTCTACACATTCATTCATGTTCAGGGTTTCAACAGAGAGAATTTGTCAGTTTACATTCATAAATACTTTCCAAAGAATGAGGATAAAGCAAATCAGCTCATCCAGTTTACCAGTGAGAATGATGTCATATCTGAAAGCATGGCCCACTATCCAATATATGTAGCCATGTTGTGTCTTATGTGGAAAGAACGTAACGAGCAAAAACTAAAGAAAATGAAATCACTGAAAACTTTTTCCCAGATATTCAAAGAAATGATTGCCTTTCTAAAAGAACATTATACCCAGAAAGAGCTGAAGAAAGTAGGCAGCCCCTCACTTATTGCCTATTTGAAAAAAATTGATGAGCTCCTTAGACCTATTGCCAAACAGGCCCTCAATGGTCTGCTAGAAAATACACTGGTTTTCTGTGAGGCTGATTTCGAGAAATGCCAATATTCCAAGGAAACTGCCTGTAGGGTTGGGATTTTGTCTCAGGAGGACAGAATTACTGCTGATACAGATACACATGAGAGGAGTTCTCATGTGCAATTGCCAGTCTTCTTCCCTCATAAACTGTTTCAGGAGTACATGGCTGGAGTCCATCTTGCTTCCATATATGAATCAGATCGTAATGAATTCAACAGGCTGATTGAGCAAGTAGTGCTGCCAAGGAAGGAGGAGTTTAGGTATCTCCTGTACTTCACTGTGTCACAGAACAAAAGTATTGCAACCCATGTAATGAAGTATATGCTTCAGGGACTAAACATGTCCAAAAGGGCTTCACAGGAACAATTAGATTTCATTGTTGATGTAGCCTTTGAGAGTCAGGGCCCAGATGTAGCAGCCTTGGTGAAGGACAGGGTTTCATCAGAGGAGATTGAGCTGTACATAGGCACAGACACGACAGCACACACTGTAGCTGGTTATGCATTCATTGGACCACATGTGGTAAGTTTAATCATAGTTTGATGAACCAAATTAGTTAATTTATTTTTGTACAAGTTCTTACTTTTACATCTCTTGCAATTTTCTTACAGTACAACAGTATAATTATGGAAGGGTGCATCTTGACTAGCACATGTGCTATTATCTGGCCACTTTTATCAACCAATAGTTTCTCTTCTCTTACATATCATTGTATGAAATGTATGAATACTGTATTGCTGTTGGTAAATAAAACAAATCAGAGAGGTTTGAACAGTACCAATTTTGAAGCTAGAACTGCAATCGTAAAACGATATACATGCATCAATGCTTGCATTTCTATTTCTTTGAGCAGAATCCAAATACATAAAGCAATTAGATGAGCCTATGTACACAACATGAAAGAAGGCACATGTCATTACCCACGTAAGGTTTTCCATATATATACTTTGGCCTATATGGCCTTGCATGCTAACATACTACTATGTGATGCATATAGTGGGATACATTGTAATGCTTGATATAAAATGGCATCTAAACCGTCTCGCTTGACAGATGCCCTAGGTTTGGCCACCCAGAATATACTTGCAAAGTTTCAAGATAAAGAAAAATCGAAAAGGGGCAAAAATCAGTCTGTAAATTGACGTCCTAGCCGAAACCCCTGTGTGATCAGAATTGTGACCTGCTTCCAATTTCAATTAACTTCAAATATTCTGAGTGAACATACTGTGTATGGTATCACTTAGGGGCATTTCATTGTGGTCATTTTAACCCCTTATCATCCATGCTATTGTGCTACAAAATCATATCACGCATTGTAATATGATGCATAGCAAACTGAATTCAGCATTTTTTATGATAACCTTGTGATGATCGACGTCATGAAATTTTACCAAACTTGGCAAGCAGTTATCAAGTAGGTTGATACTCATGCATGTCTGCCAAGTTTCATAGACCTAGGTGTAAAGTTCGCAAATTGAGCTTATGTGGAAGTTATTTAGGAATTTTCCTGAAAAGTATGGTTTTTAAGAGCTATTTTTCATCATCCAGTTGTAGGGTTCATTTTTTTTTGTAATCTGCTGAAAGGGGTATGTCTTCAATTATCTATTTCCAAAAGGGTACTGATTATACCAATGGTGGAGCTACATGTACATGGCCACATAAACACATCCATTTGCAGAAATTTAGAGGATGCTATTCATATCATGTGTGACCATTGATTTTAAAAAATGGGGGGGGGGGGGGGGGGAAGCAGGCGGTTTTAAAAAAAGGAAGCTTTGGGGATGCTAAGCATGATTTTTTTTTGTATGGCCTAAAGAATTTTGGCGATAGGCATTTTGGCTAGATGAGGAGCAACTTTTGCGCAATCTAGAGTAATTTGTTAGAAGTCTGTAGCATCTTGGATAGTGGAGATAGGCGGGCTGAAAGAAAGGCATGAAAACAGACCAGAAACAATCAATATGGCGCCTGGACGGTCAGTTCATGTGCACACGAAGGGATGTTAAAGAATGTATGCATACAAAATCTAAAAGTAATTGGGATAAAGAGAGAGAGAGAGACCTATTTATAGGAACATTAAGCACTGCATGCAAAATGAATGTGATTTGGGTGGGAGAGGAATAAGAAAAAGAATTAAGGATGTGCAAATTTACAAGACATTGAAGAGGACATCAATGTAATTACATTGAAGCTACCATATGTACTGGCACGTGCATATAATTATGATATATACACGGTGCATCTTTGCCTTTTAGATGAGATAAAATTTGACGAAAGGGAACTTTGTCAATAGTCTGCACATTTTTCATTTCTTCCCCCGAAAAATCTCTTGCCTATCTTGGTTTTTAAATGGTTAACAGGGCACAAAGGAATCTGTTCGATATTCTTGGCCCTGTGTAAAATTGATGGTATTGATATGCAGGGGCGGATCCAGCCGGCAGCAGGGGAGGGGGCCAAAGATATTATTATTTGTTTTTTTGGCCCTCAATTTTTTTTAAGTCGCACCCCCCCCCCCCCTTTGAACACCAGGGCATGGGGCCCACCGCCAAATAAAGGTAAAATTAACATGTTTTTTTCCCCAGGGAAGGGGGCCCAGCCTCCCCCCCCCTGGATCCGCTACTGTTGATATGAATCATATTGAATCACAGTTTGAATTTTGCAGCATAAATTGCAACTCTTAACATTCATGATAACTGTACATTCATTCGTCCTATCTTCTGCTTCACTCTCCCTTGGTAAGACTGAATACATTTATGTGCTCATGCATGCAGGGGGTATCAACAGTTTTTTTCTCCTTTGCGAGCCTAGATTTTTGCTCCGTATCCACGATTGTAATATAGTGATCGTGTTCCTATTATCATTTATAAATGAATAAGGTACATGTATGAGGCACCATATAGTGTGAACTTAAAGGAGAATTAACATCATGACTTGACTATGAAGCATTATAATAATGCTTATTACCACCAAACTCTCTAAAGCGCTTTAACAAACAAAATAGACTGATAAATAATTACACATTAAACAAAACAAGAAAATGCAAATAAACCTACAAATTACAATACATATGGAATACACATCTATCATGACATAGAGAGTAAAACAAGGTTTCATTTGATATAAAAAGCATTGTTCTTGCAAGTACAATAAAGAGAACCTACTTCGCCATATTTGCGACGTCTGCTGCCCAAGGAAGCTGCCATTTTGTCGAAATTTCCTTAAAAACTTCCGTGTTGTGACGTATTGTACAGAAAAATGATGTAGCGCGGCGGGCCCGGTATGCAATACACATCAAACATGGTGTACTGCAAAACGTTTGGTCGTAATAATTGTTCCTTGAAAATCAAGGGGGAATCGTTTCATCAGTTTCCAGACCCACACAATCGCAATGAGATATTCAAGCTATTGGTAGCAGCTCTATTTCTGGACAAAAAGTACAAGTACAACAGGAAAAACGATGTGATCTGCAGTGATCATTTTACAGTTTACAGCAGGGAAACGTAATACGCAATAGCGGTTCACTCCATGCGATATGTCACAGAACGGGCTGTGCGCAAACACATTGGCGACGTTCTGAAAATTCTCAGAGTTGCGAAGTATGAAGGATTCTGAAGAAGAATTATGTCTTCTCTTTCGTCAAATGTACGATGTTTTATATTTTTCAGATAATGTTTTTAATGGCCTACAAACCGAAATTAACATTTATTTTGAGGTTAATTCCCCTTTAAATAATCTTCTTTGAAACCTGTTCTTAGTTATACTCTCCTTTTATTTTGTTTAAAGATTCTCCGTAACTATGATGAAATATTCCTAATGACACAGAAATAGGAATTCGATATGAAATGTCATGGCACTATTTCTTTAACCTCTACCCTTATTTCATTTTCCCTCTTACTTTCTATAGTTCTAGCAGCACATCTAGGGCAACCGCCCATGTAGGTTACACATGTATGCCTAACATCCAAGTGAACATGTATATTCTGTATCACTTTGTAATTTTTTCCAGGTTAATCTCCAGGTTAATCTCCAGGTTGATAGATATTGTGGACCTTCTATGTCACTTGATGTGGCAGAGATAATATGCTCCATACCATCCTTGAAGGAAGTTTCTCATTTTTGGGGTTCATACCATCATTGTTTTTTTGCAACACTTGCAAGGAAAGGAAAGGAATCAAAGGTGAGCATTTCATCCACAATTGTGACGTACATTTTTATGTGTTAGCGTTTAATTTAATTCCATTCCATCACCATCTCTATCTCTTTCCTTTTCTTTTGTACATTGTACTTTTCTGTAATTCCTTTAGATGTCTCATACTGTATATGCTGGTTCTTTTGACAGAAACATATATAAGTGATCTTTTCATTGAGGCTACCACATGGTGTTATCAAAAGCCTTCAAGTGTGAATACTTACCATGAAAACTTACAGCATCGGCGGGGAGCACCATGTGGTATGCTTATACGACTTGAATGCTATAATAAAAACCCTGGCGCCTTGCTTGACGTCTACAGAAAATCACAACATCTCTGTTTTCTGTCCAAATACAGCATTTCTCAAAATATGAATTCTGGGAGGCACATATTCTTTGCTGCTCCCAGCCAGTCCCCCGAAGTATAGGTTTCAAGAGGCATACAGGGGGCTACTCCAAATGAGTAATAGAGATACGCAAACAAAGGAGGGAAACAATTTGTCATTGACTGGAGAAGCCATGGGGGGTTGGGAGACCTTTGCACCACATAATTCCTATCTAATTTACAACATGAATTCCCAATTTATAACATTAATATTCAAGATATGGGGTTAGAGTTATTTCACTCATGGCTTTTTTTTTTTATTAATTAAGGAAATTATTTATCTTATGATCATGTTAAGAAATGGAGCTTTATGAATGGAAACAAAATAGAAAGCACATGTAGTGAAACATTGGGTAGATAACAATATTATACAATGTACTCATATTTTGGATTAATACAAAATCTTATTTTAGGCTTCATCTAATGAAAAAAAAATAAGGAGGGAGAGTGATTCTTGCCCTGATTTTGGACTCGCTAGTGCCTTTTTGTGTCAGTCACATTTGCATTTGCATAATCCACATGAATGCACTGAAAGTGAGATACAAGTATTTCCTAATCCTAAAAATATCATGTAGGTGAAAGTAATAAGCATTTGTTATTATGTTCATTATTATTATTAAGCCAGATGTAAATAGACAAATTATTTTCCCTACATGTTAATGTGACACTATATTGTTTAAGATATGATTTTATAATTGTCTATCGATGACTTCGATGTCGAGTGCCACTTTCTCTTCTAAAAAGTGAAATAAAACAATAGAGACAGTGTTCTCCACTTTGAAGTATATTTATTAGTATAATTGCTATGATATATAGAGGGTAGCCAAAAAGATATGTAGGCTATGCCTAAACATAGTAGACATTGGTATGTTACCAGCTTCTCTCTCTGAGCATCCATTTTTGTATTTTGGGTGAGTCACAATACATAAATATGTTACCAGCTTCTCTCTCTGAGCATCCATTTTTGTATTTTGGGTGAGTCACAATACATAAATAATCAAGAAAATATTTTGTTATGTGAATTTAACATTAGCTATTTTAAACCATATTTGACCATGGTCAACATCCATGAATGAAACGTAAATACAGGATTAGCATAACAC